GATGATACACCTTTTTCCGCTCGAGGACAAATAAAAATAGTTTTCAAGCACTCAGATGTTCAAAAGTTGCGCTTGTTACACCACCTCTCTCCCTATCCTTTCTATCCACCACGTGCTGCCGCAGTTCCACTATCCCTAGTTCGGGACTGATCGCAAAGAACCACACTGATCAGCTGTCGAATTTGCATCTAATTTGGATTGATATTTATCCAAATTCGAATTTATCAACCAGTTGAAATTCACGTAAGCGAAGTGCTTCAGCTCACCCTCTTCATTACCCTACCATTTCACGGTGAAGAGAGATAGATGCGCTATTAAATAGTGTTTTGTGTGCAACGAGTGGTCTGGAACCTCAGCTACCAGTACATGTGGAAGCCGGTAACCGTTCCTGACCATGGAATCTGAATCTCACTAAACGGGCCATTTGCTGTATGGTATTCAGGATGAGGGACTCCTTTTCAAGGAATGTGAAACCGTCGGTACCCCTTCCGAAGGACTGCCGGATCAGGTTTGCTAGCTATGTAATACGTAAAGAAATAAACCCAACACTGCAGATCGTTGATGTACTTTTGTATTTGAAATCATGCTCTCGTACAGCTGAAAATCTGATAACTGTACGGACTAAAACAAATAGTTATGAAGTGCTCGGACTACTAACGACGGTCAGGTGACTTCCGATCTGGAATTCAATTTGACTATAAACCCTGGAACCGAACTGGGATACCCGGCAAGATGTGCTCGATCAGTCCGTCGAATGTGGTAAAAACGTATCACATTTTCCAGTTGATGGAGTAGTAAGTATGAGAGGGTTTTCTGACACAGAGTGAGAGAGAGGGTAAGCAAAGAATGAACTTTCTTATCTGTTATAAGAAATCGATCAGTGAAAACATGCAACTGGTGATTGTCACAGAACAGCTTTGTCCGGGGTCGGTCGCTTGCGATCAACAGTGATTCTGATAGATAGGAACAAATAGACAGATCACTGTGTTAATCGGAGATTAACCGAATTCCATGATTACTACTGTCCGATAGTGTACCCGCGAATGCAGCAATCCAGCCAGGGAGTAATCATATTCCGAGCCCAGGTTATCGTTTGTCCAAAGCAAAGCTCTTATCGCAATCTGATCATCTGTCAGCTGTAGAGTTCAGGTAATCTATGTCAATCTGGATAGGTGTGCATGCGTGTGTTGGACACAAAAGACAAAAGTGCTCCTTGAATACATCGTTATCAATCTAACAGATAATCGTGCTGCGCGTAAAAACTCATCAGATGACTCTGCAACACCACTCCGGGGATGACATTGAGGCAGTTCAACGTGAAACGAACACCAACAAAAATAACGCAATCAGTTGCAACAAAGATGAACGTTTTTCTAGGCGTACTTTGATGAATGGATTGAAGACATTTGTTTTTCATTCTCCTCAACCTTACATTAGCATTGGGGTAGTGGCCAGATATTCCCCCACTGTGACCAGAACGGGTCCTCACTAAGCGGGCAATCAAAATAATGTATTGCGTTTAATCAACAAGCAGTGAAGCTCTGAACAGGTGTCTCAAACAAACGTGCACATCATGTTTTTCGCNTTTCGCTTAGTAGAGCACGTTAACTGGCCACGCAACACATTTCGGTAAGAACTGATAAATATTGACGGACTTGTCCAAGTTGTGAGATCAATCAAACGCGCATCTCTTAGGG